CATTCAAATGAATGAAGTTCTGGTCATGACCATTACCTAATCGAAATATTATCTGAACAATTTCCTAAAAATTTTTAACAAATAACGAAAGAATCAAAATCTTTAAATTTTTATTGTCTTGAGTGAAAGTCCAGGAATCAAATGATATCCACTAAGCATGAATAACACCGTAATACCTTGTCTTCAAGGGAGCTGAAGGGAAGGATCCGTTGGATGAGGCAGTTGCTATGAGGGCACGTTTGTCTTGTACGACAGCAGAACTGATAAAGTTGTCTTTGTTTGCGGACGGATTTCTTTCAAGAACCTGGAAGGAAGATCTCTATTCAGACAATTCTAAATTCCAAATGGCTGCATTCACAGCACAGGAAATCGCCCTCATAGTGTTCCAAACAGAAGAAAGCATAAGCGCAAAAATGAGAAAATGAAAGAAATTGCATTAATTTTCGCTATGCTGATTTCATTACATCGGAGAAAATGTTTTTGCATCGTTGAGGATTTCAACACATTAACTGAAAACATTTTTGAGGCTCCAATGAGAATGATCACCTCAATATAATTGGTAGGGACAAGGCCGGTGCATCCCTTCGAGTTTCTGGCTTTCCACCATTCTGGATCATGCGCCGGATGATCGATAATTTCTAAACGTTCACCTGAAATTTTTTCACCATTCCAATAGCATTTTCGACTTCCAAGTTGATCGTGTGCAATACAAAAAACGTGAACAGTTTTGAAAATTTAGATAACATTCAGACAAAATTTTCTGCACATGTAAACCATTCACTTGAATATTTCTGCTTGTTTCATTCTCATAAGAGCGAACACGAGTGTAATTCATCAATCACGAATGACAACAGCTAAAATTTCCAGCGTCACCGGCCCAGATCTACTGTCCAGCTTCGTTGCAATATGTATCGTTAACATGGTGCTCGTGTACATGATAAAATAATTCGTTCAAACCACAAAGCTGAGTATTACCTTTGCGAAAAGATAACTCGCCAGCTGTCTGTGCATCAAATGAATACAACGCTATTACAACTTCAAGGATCGTTTGCTTCGGTGAGGATATCATCGAAATATTTTTCGGCTGAAAATTGCACTCATAGAGCAGAATTAACAACTGGAGACTGTGGTTAGCACGGGCAACTGGATCGTTTTTGCATGAACGATTTTTAAGGCTTAAGAAATACGAAATAATCACTCAGAAGTGATCACTTTGCGATGTGAAGACAAAAATATTAATTTATCTAATTAATGACAGACATCTGCGATGATAACACAGATTTTTGTTTGATTGTGAATGTATTCGATGAGCAAATATAGACACCTTCTGTATTCCATTGCCAATATCACCTCCAGCAAGCATTTTTGCCGGAGAGAACGTATTCGGCGGAGATTCATCGATGTAATTGGACGGAAACCAGCCAGTTTCGCCGTGACACTGTAATCGATTGAACTGATATTCAGAATCAAAAGAATTCCATCGTATGATAAGGATATGAGAAATCCATGATTCGTATATCAAAGGTGGAAGTGATATAACTGATTTAGCACCGTCTTCCATGAAAATTGAGTCTTGTTTCGGGGAATCATCTTGATTGCAATAGTTCCTTTCATTACATCCAGA